TATTGAGTAGCCAACAGATATTTTTGAAAAACAATTTTTTCATTTTGAGGACAAGAGTGATGCTGAAATGTATCCACTCAATGAAAAGTGGTTACTACAATTAAAATGTGACCACTAAAACTCGTTGAATAATGAATACAAGTTCACATTTCCTTCATTACTTAGTCCACTTACAGTACAAATAATCGAGATTCAAAGGGATTACTTTGTGACGGAAATAGCTCACTAGGAATATTCATTGGTGTGCCCAGAATGATTTAAGACATCGATTCGCTCAAGGTTGCACAGTGTCTCAACCCAGTTGTCACTTGTTGTATACTTGATATAATCTAACTTTGCATAATAACCCTCAGATCTCTCCCCTTGATAGTCGCTTAGTTTCTTGATAAACTGAAAAAGTGGTAAGATAACGAAGGCGATTTACAAACTCAAAAATATATACAACATTATTATTATTATATTATAATTTGTCCCTTGGGTTACTATTGGAACATAGGGCTTCAGTAGCACGTCTCCAGTGCACTCTCTTCTCTGAAATCCCTCGAACCTGGATCCACAACAGCCCACAAGCTCTCATTTCCTCCTCTCACAATCTACTCCATGTCACCCTCGGACATCCAACTCATCGCTTCCCATGGGGATTCCACTAGAGGGCCTGATGCGTGATGTCCCTAGTCGGTTTTCTCAGTGTATGCCCAATCTTTCTCCACTTCCTTCTGCATATTTGTTGAGTGATAGCTTCTTGGTTGGTTCGTTCCAAGAGCACCTTGTTGCATATCCTTATTATTCTGGCCATCTGATCTTCAGTAACGAGTGAGCGTAGGCAGTTGTTGATGAATGTCTGTAGTTTGTTGGAAATCCCTTTCATAACGCACCAAGTCTCTGAGCCATACAGAAGCACTGATTTGACGTTGGTGTCGAAAATCCGGATCTTGTTCTTCATGCCGAGTGCAGAAGATCTCCACACTGGTTTCAAGTTAATGAACGCCTGTCTTGCTTTTCCGATCCTGGCTGCTTTGACGTCCCCGTCTGTGCCTGTGCTGCCTGTAGTTGAAACAATGCTGCCTAGATAGGTGGAGGCTACTTTCTTTTGGTTTTCCCCGTTGATTGGCTCCTGTTGTTGTTGTTGTTGTTGTTGTTGGTTGGATATCTTCATCACCTCTGTTTTCTCTACAGTCACTTGAAGTCCCGTCTTCGCTGCCCTGCGTCGTCTCTTCTGTCAACTTGTCAGTTTTCACCTGTAGATCTTCAAGTTTGTGTGACATCAGACACAAGTCACCGGCGAAATCCAAATCTTCTAGGTTCTTTTCCCCAGTCCAGCGAATCCCACTCTTCTCACAGCTCCCCACTGTTTGTTGCATGATCCAATCGACCACAATTAGGAATATCATGGGTGATAGTAGGCAACCTTGTTTCACTCCTGTCTTTACTTCAAAAGCATCACTCAGCTTTCCACTGTGAATTATTTGGCATGTGACCTCTTCATATAATTGTTGAATGAGTTTGATGAATTTTGGTATTCCGTAGTGTTGAAGCAACTGCCAAATTACTTCTTAGTCGACGCTGACAAAGGCCTTCTCAAAGTCGATGAATTTGAGGTAGAGGGTTGACTGCCACTCTATAATCTGTTCTATGATGATGGGTAGTATTGCAATTCAGTCCACAAATGATTTGTATTTCCTGAATCTAGTCAGCCTATTCCGGTCGTAATTTTGAATCTAGCGCATCCTTTAGTCTCTCTAGGATGATGTGGCTTAATATTTTGCTTGCTATGGGTGGACAGGAGCGTGATGCCGAGCCAGTTCTTGCCAACACTCAGGTCGCCCTTCTTCGGCAGTTTGATAAGATAGCCCTTCTTCCAATCTGCAGGTACCTTCCCTTCCTTCCAGACCTTCTGCAATAGTGGTGTAAGCATGTCTGCTGTTGCCCTGCGCCTGTTCTCAGTGCTTCTGGCGGGATTCCATCTGATCCTGCTGCTTCCCCTGTATTTCAGTAGTTTTATGGCGTTCAGGACTTCGACTTGCGTTGAAGGGCTTGTGTTTACTGATAGTTCTCTGGATAAGCTGCTGGTGGTATTTCTGGACGAAGTGCAGGTGGTGGTGGTGGTCGATTCAAGAGCTTCTTGAAGTGGTCAGCTCATTGTTTCCTTTGTTTCTCTTCTTTGGTGATGAGATTTCCTTCATCACCTTCTATTGGTTTCATCTGTGCTGATCTCGTCCCAGATAGTAACCTGGTTATTTGATTTAATGTTGTCAGGTCTCTCCTACCTGCAGCCTGTTCTGCTTCATTTGCCAGTGTGTCGTGGAAATGTCTTTTGTTTTTGCATGCACTCTTCTTCACTTCTTTGTCCAGTGTTGCATACATTGTACTCAGTTCCTCTTGTCGTTGTGCATCCTTGCACTGGTTTATCTTCTGCTTCACCATCCTCCTCTCCCTGCTCTATCAGCTTCCATGCATCCGTCGAGATCCATTCCTTACCTTCTTTGTTCTTCCCTCCTTCCTAATACGGTTATGCAGGTTTCTTTCCGTGTAGTTTTCAAAGAGTTCCAGTGCTCATTCACACAGGTTTCTTCAGGGATGTTCCTCGATATCTCCCACTTTGTCTTGATGGCTGACGTGAAAATGTTCTTTGTAGTTTCGTCCTTCACTTTCTACTCTGGGTGTTCAACTTGAACTGTGGTCTATCACCAACTTCCTTGAAAGCTTTCAACTTGATTTGGAAGGTTCCTTGCACTAGATAGTGGTCTGAGCCTACACCTGCTACTCTTCTTGACCTTGTGTCAAGTAGGCGGCGTCTCCACTTCCTTCACATTGAGATAAAGTCGACCCGATTTTTAGTGTGTCCTGGTTTCTGATGAAATCCATGTCGCTCGCTTTGCGGATATCCTTGTGTTTGAACACACCGCCTAACTCCAATCACCAAATCGTTGAATGCACAGAATTCTGCAAACAATTCTCTATTATCATTCATTTCACCGAGCGCTTCTCGACCCATGGTTAGTTCTCTACCCGTGTTGTCCGCTCCGAGTTTGACATTTATGTCGCCCATTAGAATGGATTTTGATGTCGCCAATGAAGTCTTGTCCAGTGTTGATTGATGTTGTCTGTAGAATTCCTCCTTCTTCTCTTCATCTGCATTATTTGTAAGGGCGTAGCATTGTATGATTGTGACTTTCCTTCATTTTGAGTTGAACCTTTCTGTCATGATTCTGATGCTGGAGGAGACTGGCTCCCACTGTATGACAGCCTTCGATGTGCTTTGGGAAATCATGATAGCCACTCCAAAACTAGGTGTGTTCGTGGATGTCGTTTGGGTGACAATATTGGAGTAGATTATTGACTCTCTAGTTGACAGTTTGGAGAGTCCGCTTCTATTCCATCTGCTTATCCCTCGCGGATTCCTAGTCTAGCACTTCAATGCTATACTTTCTCATCCCTTATGCCATCTGGGCCACCTTGCTAGGTCCATATATGATGCAGAGATTCCATGTCCCCAGTCTTACTTTCGCTTTTATCGAGAGAGAGGTGACACATCGCCCAATTGGCTTCCCGAAGGCTTTCATCAGGTGACGTCATTTATGTGCCTTCATCTGCCACCATTTGTCACATTAAAGTGACTGACCAAATTCAAACTAATTTCACTTAAGTTAAGATAAGCACCTGGACAACGGATATACTCATCAACATCAATCATATGCGTTCTGTTTATGAATTTTACATGATCGACGTGAACACTATTCCGGAGCTCTTCAGTCATCTGCCGATTTTTCAAAATAGTCTTCTGTAAGGTGCATACAATTTGTCTATATATTCTGTGAAGCATGAACTAACTCATTTGAGTATGGAGTATCTTCATACTCTTTTGGTTCTGGTTGTAAGCAAGCCTCAGGGTTTTAAATGACAGCCTGAGAACTTGTATGCAGTTTGAGCTAGGGTGACCTACGAGAAGCTGGTTTGTATAATAAGATATTCTGCTATGAGATACATTATCGAAGTCAACATCGCATTATAATAACCCAATCATATGCTTCTGACAGCCTGACCCACTAAGAGTGACTTGTGTATTTGGACTGATTCGGGGTTTTCCAGTTACCTCTTGACTAGTGGATATGATGTCTGAAGTGAAGCTGGCTTGCAGACGATCCTAGTGTCAATTTTCTCGTGTGGGCGAAACTCGTGGAAAGGAACTATCTCATTTGATTTGTGAGCAAAGGCTTTGAACCCCTTTGAGAATTGGTGTGACTGTTCACGTTGATCCTTGAAAAATTCACTTGTATATATATAATACGGGGTCGGTCTTAGAGGGGCTAGATTGTACTAAACATGTTGCATCATGTGACAAACTATCTGCAAGTACTTCATGATTTTTATTAGCACAGTCTGACAAAGTGTGGCTATCATTTGTTACCTTCTGATAGGTAATGGAGGGGTCACTATCATCCTTATCCATAATATGATTCATATTATCAGACTTCTGAGACTCACATTCATCTTCGACACACCCATCATTGAAGAAATTACCGCCAGGTTTTTTCAAAACCTGAGGGCTTATGGATGTAGATTCTAGCTAGATTGTCAACCAGAATTTGACTGAATTTCTCAATAATCCTCAGTGTTTTGGCTTCCACCTTTTCTTCAAAGCGTTGCAGAAATGCTTCAAACTCTTCAATCGAAAGAGTTATCATGTTTTATTCGTCACCACTTTCTGTCACTGAAAGAGATATTGCATTCACTTATCGGTCTATTCTTCTGAAGTGGGGAGTAAATGATTTGTCAAATACTCTTCTTCAAATTATCTATCCCCTTATTACCAGCCTCTATAGATTCAATTCAGTTAATCCCAACTACGCTAGAAAACAGATAAAACTAGCTGATAAAAACTCATACTCGTGATAAATAACTGTTGGAAATATCCATTGACTAGCTTTAACCATTTAACATATATAATTGCTTCAGTATAATCACCTTACATATTGTTATTATTTCTTAAATAATTTTAGAAAGTCTTGGAATGGAACAAGTTTCCTATTGGCCATTTTTACTGGACTTAGCTTCTCCAGGATTAAAACTGATTTTGCAAAGTAGATGGAGTTTGAGTCAGTTGAATCATGCAATCAAACAAGTAAGAGGATCAGATCTTCTATAACAAAATTATTTGCATTCACTCAAATATTCGATATAATCTGCGAGTTATTTTCCTCTTTCTGATGAAAGTCAACTTTATCAATTTCTTGGCGTGGTTTTATGAACCCTACTAATCCATTTTTAGTTTGTCTTTCTGATACTACGTTTAAGAATAAATCTGTTAGTGTGAGGAGTCTATAACATTTCATGTAACTCATTGCAGTAACTAAGAATCATAACAGGATTACCTACGTAAAGCAAAAGGTCGAGATCCAGTTCTTGATTATAGTTATTATTATTATATTATAATTTGTCCCTTGGGTTACTATTGGAACATAGGGCTTCAGTAGCACGTCTCCAGTGCACTCTCTTCTCTGAAATCCCTCGAACCTGGATCCACAACAGCCCACAAGCTCTCATTTCCTCCTCTCACAATCTACTCCATGTCACCCTCGGACATCCAACTCATCGCTTCCCATGGGGATTCCACTAGAGGGCCTGATGCGTGATGTCCCTAGTCGGTTTTCTCAGTGTATGCCCAATCTTTCTCCACTTCCTTCTGCATATTTGTTGAGTGATAGCTTCTTGGTTGGTTCGTTCCAAGAGCACCTTGTTGCATATCCTTATTATTCTGGCCATCTGATCTTCAGTAACGAGTGAGCGTAGGCAGTTGTTGATGAATGTCTGTAGTTTGTTGGAAATCCCTTTCATAACGCACCAAGTCTCTGAGCCATACAGAAGCACTGATTTGACGTTGGTGTCGAAAATCCGGATCTTGTTCTTCATGCCGAGTGCAGAAGATCTCCACACTGGTTTCAAGTTAATGAACGCCTGTCTTGCTTTTCCGATCCTGGCTGCTTTGACGTCCCCGTCTGTGCCTGTGCTGCCTGTAGTTGAAACAATGCTGCCTAGATAGGTGGAGGCTACTTTCTTTTGGTTTTCCCCGTTGATTGGCTCCTGTTGTTGTTGTTGTTGTTGTTGTTGTTGGTTGGATATCTTCATCACCTCTGTTTTCTCTACAGTCACTTGAAGTCCCGTCTTCGCTGCCCTGCGTCGTCTCTTCTGTCAACTTGTCAGTTTTCACCTGTAGATCTTCAAGTTTGTGTGACATCAGACACAAGTCACCGGCGAAATCCAAATCTTCTAGGTTCTTTTCCCCAGTCCAGCGAATCCCACTCTTCTCACAGCTCCCCACTGTTTGTTGCATGATCCAATCGACCACAATTAGGAATATCATGGGTGATAGTAGGCAACCTTGTTTCACTCCTGTCTTTACTTCAAAAGCATCACTCAGCTTTCCATTTTGATTTACTTGGCATGATGGTAGTTACCACAAATGAAAGTTTTTCGACGGGATGAAATTTATTACAGGATATAACTTTCCTTCGGAAGTAGAGATTAATTTCATTCGAAGGAATCTAACTGCTTCTGTTACTCCTCGTAACTAACGTATTTGCAGCTTTGAAATTCAAGGAGAGGTAAATTTCTTTCGAGAATATGCACATCCACCATGACTCATAAATCAAAATATCAAGCTTAAGCTTAAGGTCAAGTACCTCATTCCTACATCAACGAAAGTGTTGTATAAGAATTTGAAGTTTAAGGTTGATGCAACTATAAAACTGAAGGACCTTTGACTCCTCAAGAGAAAGATGCTTTGCATCCACCTTGACTTTATTAATTTTTTAGCCACCCACTGTTTTCTAACAGCTACAAACACGAAATACAGAGTTTAGCCGTCTCTAATTCTGTGTGTCAGTTCATTTACTCTTATGGGGATAAATAGATTGGTAGTACAATATGAATTCTGTTTAAAAAGGTTTCAGAAATAACACGTTAAAATGTTGCGATCAGGAGTAGTGGAATTGTTAGAAGTGCACTAACTAAACACATCACTGAAACTGGCCATTGTGTCTCTACATGCTCTTCCATTTACATTTTAGTGCTTAGAAGAGGCATCCAAAACGCGCATTTTGTCCCATCTGAGACTCATCAACTAGATGTACCTGCCGACCACTGCGGAGAGATGTTGCTCCCCTTCACACTCGAACCTTGTAAACATAGCATCAAACACCAAAGCGCTATCCACTAGGCCAATGAAGGGCAATACCCACCTCTTGTACAACGAGTATTGGTTAAAACTATATGTTAATATACTTGTAATTTTCCGTTGTTATACTGGATCGAATCGTTCGACCTCTGTTTGCAATATGAATTGGTACGCAGATGCCTCGATGTTGCCTGAATATTTATTATAGTATCTTACTTGTTTGTGGCTAGCACAGGGATCCAGGATGCCTGTTTTGTCTGATTTTGGGACTCGCCAGCTTCTTCAGTGGTCTAGTGGATAACTCTTTGTTATTTGAAACGATGAGTAGGAGGTTCGATTCCAAGTGGGACTAAGATCACTCGGCACTGGTATGGAGATACATCCAGCTGGCGAGTCACCAATAGAGTTAAACGTGTGTCCTAGATTCCTTAGCTAGCCATAACCAAGTACATTACTGTATTAAATACTCGGGCAATATCAAGGCATCCGCATACCAGCCTATATGCCAAGAGAGGTCGAATAATTCGATCCAGTATGACAATGGAGAATTACAAGTCTATCAACAAATAGTTATCGGTAGAAATGAATACAAATATCAAATTTGTTGAACAGGCTGAAGATGAAAAATTGTATTAATTTGCTATTCGGGAATAGAGTCATCAAAAGGTGGACTTTCATAGTTACAAGTCATCATTTTTGTTAGTTGCTGAAAGCCTTTGGAGTGCAAATATGGATTTCTCATTCTTAAATTTTATCTCACCCCATTCCTAAAGTTGAAGTCACTTTTCTGATTTTTCTTATAGAAATCACATCAGTTAGTTAATTCCTTTCTTATTCTGAGTTCTTTTGAGAACTCAGACAACTATATCCAAATTCAGCCTCTTCTTATCATGTTTTTTCACTCTAAGTTTATCACTTTAAGACTGTAACTAACCAGAATGAAATTCTTGTCTATGCTTATCTTTTTCAAGAAGAATGAAGTGACTTTCAGGCATTTGGAAGTAACCAAATCACTCACAGGATTCAGTTTGAATAGAAAACTATTAAAGAAGCTATCACGGACGAAATCAGCTTGAAGACCCGTCGGTATAAACATACTGATGATCGTGATATTACTAACATTCGGCATAACTTTTGCTCTATATAATGCCAATGTTCTAAGTACAGTATCATATAAAAACAATGAAAAAAAAGTAAAGCGCATGTGGATCTCAGGTGGATGACCTTGGTTGTCTTGAGTTCTGTGACTTGGATGGTATATTCATGAAGTTTTCATTGTCTTTCAAGACATCATCAGAACTAACGTCAACAAGAAGTAAGCTATCAGAACTTCTCCATGAGTGATTCAGTGGCTTCCTATAATTAAGTGATTTGAGATTAGTATTTTCCTTTTATTTTTAAGGCTATGAATGCATAGACTTCTTTGTTGACCGTTTCTTTGTCTGACCTCTGACCATGTAGTTGTGTATCATTTTTCTTAACGGTTGGTAGACTGGATCTGACTACACATCTCATGGTTGCTAAGTGATCGTAATGCCAAATTTCTTGGGAGTGTATAATAATAAGATGGGCATCCTTTGTCGAAGATTCCTACATTTTCCAAACTGAATTCATGTTCATAGTTGTCCACATGCATCAACATAAGATGTGAAATGTAGTGACGCTGAAGTTCCATTTGATGCTAATATTGATGGAGATGAAATAGTTAGCCCCTTTGTACAAACTGCTGATAATGATGCTTGTTTCAGTCAATTTTACCAATGATATATAATTCGTCTTTTTTGGCTGTTTCATCCAATGGTCGGCATAATTTGTCTTGAAGTCAGTTTGGTGGTCTGTTGACCACACCAACCGCAGAGGATCGGAGTATTACAGTAGTGATCTCTCTTATATTCTTTATTTATAGTAGGATGACTTTGTTAGCTAATTTCTGTGGATGATTTTGCAGTCGATGATGAACCAAATAGGCATCCTGTGATGAAGCTGAGTAGGCCACCTCTCTTCTTCAGGACAGTCATCAAGTAATTTTATTCGTTTCGTAGGTCAAACAGAAAAACGGTCAACTTAAAAATTTCTATGATCAGTGGCACATCAATCAAAGGAAGCTACTTACCACATATCACTCACTTCATCAGAGTAAGCTATCGAATCACTCTCGGTGAAATCGTGATAGTTTGTTTCATATTAAAGTTGGTGATGTTGTCTAGAAAGACAATAAAAGCTACACGAATAAACCATTCAGCTCCTAGGATGCAGCACAGTTAAGAATGAACAGATTCCTAAATGTTCAACGTCTCCAGCATAGAAGACAAAACTGCTTCGTGAATAACTTCACTGGAAACAATAAGGCAATTGGTAAGGGTCTAAGTAACAAACAGTTTGATTTTCGATTATTGTTGAAAGTTTGTTCAAAGCAAATGTTAAGAATTATAAGAAACAGTAGGCTTTACAAAATAACATAAATTCATAGTTCTAAAGATTTAGTAAAGTGGCAATCACCATCCCATCACTTTTTCTAATGCTTGAATGTACCACCATCTCAGAATCGACCTGTTCAAGTCAAACATTCTTCTATTATCAACATTTTATTTCTCTTTTCCGTCTTGTCTAGAGTGGTCAAATGAGTCAATGTATATTTCTACAGATTCCCATGCTAACACAGCTTGAATGAATGTCAGTACTTGTTTCTATTTATACTAAACTGTAAAATGGTTAATTTGTCATATTATTCAGTCAAATCTTGATCATAATTCATATATATGTATATATAATTCAATAGTCACACTGGATTATTATAATTAATCATACAAAGGCTTCACTTTAATTGTATTTTTATCTCAGTATCTGAAATTTTATTTTTTTACAACTTCACTATCTTCTCTCTTTTTACTTCCATTTACTAATTAATTTTAGTTTCACAGTGAAATTCTAATACCAGTACAAACTATTATTGTCAGGTTGCTGAATATCTCAATGGATGATCCAATGAAATGTAACCAGTTAATCAACAAGGTGAGTATATACACTTATTTGCAAGTAAACACCAATTACTGTCGTCATACAGATATTTGATATAATAACAGTTGTACAATAAAAAAATTTATCAACAAATACTCGGTTAATTTAATCAGGTATCAATATGAATCTCCCCCCTTGAAAATCTGACAGACGAAAACCAACATGTTGACAGAAGAGACAGCGAAAACGGGACTTCAAGTGAATATAGAGAAGAGGAGGTGATGAAGATACCCAACCAACAACAGCATCAACAACAAGCACCAATCACCAATAACGGGAGAAACCTAAAGGAAGTAGTCTCTTTCACCTACCCAGACAGGGCAGCATCGTTTCAACTACAGGCGGCACAGATGAGGACGTCAAAACCAGAATCGGAAAAGCAAGACAGGCTTTCATTATTCTGAAATCACTGTAAACATCTATTGCACTCAGTACAAAGGACAAGATCCGGATTTTCAACACCAATATCAAGTCAGTGCTGCCATCTGGTTCACGAAAAACATTTCCAACAAACTACAGACATTCATCAACAGCTGCCTACTCTGGCTCGATACTGAAGATCAGATAGATGGCCAGAATAATAAGAATAAACAACAAGGAACTCTGGCTGGCTGGTGACGAACCAACCAAGAATCCATCGTCCAACACATATGCAGAAAGATAAAAAAAGGTGATGGATTAGATTGGATATGCACTGAGAAGGCTGATTGGGGGACATCACGCGTCAGGCCAGGTTATCTAGCGGAATCCAAAAGGGAAACGACTAGTTTGGCGTCCAGCTGAGGGTGACATGGCGGAGATTATGTGAGGAAGAAATGAAAGCTTGTGGGCAGTTGTAGAGCCAGGTTGAGAAGACTGCAGAGAAGAGAGTGCAATGTAGGCCTGCTACTGAAGCGGTATGTTCCACTAGGAACCCAAAGGAAAAATAGTATAATAAACTAGACGGCCAGTGGATTAATGACTGGAAAACATAGCCGTGCATCAGTCCTTCACAAGAAATCAACGGAAAGCTATGGCCATTCACATTCAGTCAGGAATAGGTTAATGGTTAGTTTCGAGGAACTCCAACGAAATTGGACTGAGCCAATTACCTCCAGGGTTGTTGGTGAATAGAATTCTCCTTTGACCTTAGCTATAATCCTTGTGTAGTGAAACTGGTTAATCATCTAGGACTCATTCAAAAAGTCTGAACAACTGAAATTGCTAAGGTTAAGTTGGAATTTATGAAATAAAGTTATCAGAAATGCTTGAAGTTTGAACAAGCAAGATTTAAGATGCTACATATATTACGTTTTATAGGTTCTTAATGACTGATATGCATTTATCAAGAGTCAATCATGAGAAAGCACAATTCATTTATTTCAGCACTGAGTGACCCAGATTCGAAACACCGATCCAAACAACAGTATACTAGTAGTTTCAGGTCCACCGTGCTAATAAGTGCAGGCGTCCGAGAAACCTAGTTTGAGTAGGGCTTCTTGCCGATTGACTCTCGCTCCACCTAATATTAAAATACAGCGCACTGTAGTTTAGTGCCATTCCGCCGAGTGGCCACTATGCTAAACTTAGTCGGTAGATTTTAACTGGTCCTAGACACTAAGGATCAGACAGCTACGTCTTCTTTCTGTTGCTGATTAGTTCTTTTGTATGCACGTAATACTTTGTATCTCCCTTTTAAAGTTATTTAACTGCGTGTAAAATTCAACGGTCTGTTTATTTATTTTCACTGTGTTAGCTTTAAACTAGGGTTGTACCATCCTTATGAGCAATCCAGGCTTAATAGATCTTCTCCTCAGCAGAATTTTTCTTTCTGCTTTATTAATAACACCCAGACTTCATAATAAACCGCATGAAAAATTCAGATTATTCATTTTTAGAATACGTAACTAATTGTAAAAATGATTCGTACTACAGTGTGAGAAGGAATAATATCAATAAGTCAGGTTTATTTCATGTCCAGCAAGCATTTTAAACATCTTGTTGAATTCACTACAGAAAGTGACTGCAGATCGAAAACCAAGGACTCATTTTAGACAGTAGAAGACAAATCTTCAAGCCTGTGGATCCATAAGTATTTTCTGTGAATAAGTACAGTTTATTCAACTATATACGTAAAGACAATTATGTCAAAGTGTTCACTTGAAATACACCTTAGCAATAACACGTCTTTTTGACACTATCCAAGATGAACTTGACTAGTCAAACATGAACATAATGATAAAGTGAACTGCTTTAAATTCAATTACTATCCTATCTCATCATCATCATCATTATCAACATAGGACCAGGCATTACTGCGTAACGGTCCGAGTTGCCACACCTCATATCAGCACATCAAGTAAAAAGGTAGTGAGGAGAAGGATAAAGATAAGTGAATGCAGTCAAAAGAAATATAAAGTACGAAAAGAAAAGAAAGAGGAGTGACAAAATGGTGAGATTCGGTATAGTGTTGTTAAGATGAGGATAATGTGTGTATACATCTGCGCCACTGACATCGGTTCTGAGCCATATCACCTAGGGTCTCCAACCACTGGTTCCTCTTGTCCCGTGGACCCCAACCACCTAGTCTGCATCGTCCTACATGGCTTAAACCAACAGTCAGAGATTTCATACATTGGTGCCATGTTTTAGTCTGGCCACCTCGGGCCTTTTTCCAGCCTGGACCCACCTCAGCCAACATTGTGTGACGAGGCAATCGGTGACTAGGCATACGTGGTACGTGTCCCAACCATCTCAGTCGATGAAGGTTCACAACCTCGTCAACTGACTTACCTCTTCTCCCCAAAACTCTACACCTAACTTCTGCATTACTTACATGGTGACACCACGGAATACATCCTATACTACGAAGGCAACGGTGGTCAAACACCTGAAGCCTTTTTGTATCCTCCACTTTCAATGGCCATGTTTCACAGCCATATAGTAGAACAGAGCGGACTGCTGTGCAGTACACGCGACCCTTAATAGACAAACGAATATCACGGCGGAGCCATAGGTGGCGCAAATTGGCGAAAGCCAATCCACTATCCTATCTAGATTATAAGTGAAACGGGAAGAGTGAAAGAATGTGATACAAATTTCAAAAAAGTTATTGCTTATTATTATTTGTCGTACATGGTGTGTAAAATGAATTAACAAAACTAATTTCCACAAACATATGATATTTACAAAACATTCGGGTTTGTTTACATGAAGTCCATCACAATCCAATGCTTTCTCCTGTTGTAGAAACATTAGGGAGTTAGGGAAGTTAAATCTAATAGAGAACAGCTGTTTAACAGTAGACAAAGACTTGTTATCCATGTTGATCTAGAGTATTTTCCTCATATTTGCTTCTACTTTTAGAGGTTAATATTCATTTCCCCTATATTAATGGCAAAAAAAAACATTTTTACCGCCAAGAAATGTTTATTTAAAATGTTATGTTCAATTTTAAGCATGAGATTCCAATTTATTAGGTTGTCAAAGTCAGTCAAGAGGTATTTTCACACAAATATATTGTCTTGCAAACACTATCTGTTCAAATTTACTTTTGTGTGGAAGATTGAGTAATCGGATATAGTAGAAAAAGTTAAACGTAGTCATTATCTTATAGGGTTAAACACGGAGTCCAACTGAAAGTTCGTTTAGCTTATATTCCGTAGGCAAATCAGTAGTAAGTCATAGAGAAATGATCTTTTTCAGAACAGATAAGTGGATTGTTGCACGCGTAAAAGGGGATCATGAAGAGCTCATAAGTAAAGTGAAATATATCAACATATATTTATTAGTCGGTTGTGAAGTAAATTTTGCACCATATCCATCTTAATTACTTCCATGAAGCCTAACACAATAAGAATCTTTTTAACTCACGAACAGTTCAGTCACTACCCATTACTCAGTATCCACAATAAGCATACTGCATAATTTCGGCGCATAATGTAGTCCAGACGAAAAGAACCAGTGCTATAATCGGATTACAAATCAAAATCCGGTTCGTAAATACTTGAAGTGGAATATTTGATATATTTTATATTCGAAGGTATCCTGACCAACAGTAGACTGAATGTTAGTACACTGGATCGAACTATTCGTCCTGTGTTAGCATATGGGCTCCTATATATATATACAGTACTGTGATTTGTATGATTTTGACCAGCAGAAATCGAACAGTTCGATAAAGCATTACAACGGAGAATTACAGGTATATCAACAAATGGTTATAGTTAATACTCGTTGTAAAAAGGGTGACTCTGGTGCCTGACTGGTCTAGTGGATGACGTTTCGGTGTTTTAAGCTATGCTTACGAGTTCCGAGTGTAAGTGAGAACAAAATCTCTCCACACTGGTGTGAACCTATATCCAGTTGACAAGTCCCAAATGGGACAAAACTTACATCCTCTACTCCACTGCCAGCCACAAACAAGTAAGTAGGCTGTGTGGCTTGAATATGATTGGGCTCCAGGTCAGTATGATTCCTCGTCCAAAGTGTATTTTATTTGTGTAATATCATCGTAGTATATGAGAAGAAATAGTAAAGTAAACAAATATGGAACGATGGAGAAGATTGGTGGGTCAGGATGAGGACGACGATAGTTTGGTATTCTCTGAGCTTTGATATCCTGTCATGAATGCATGATCATCAGGATTTGTGATATCTTCAGCATTAATTTCATTAGGAAGGAAAGCATATTCGAATGTTACACAAATGTTTAGATAGTGTTTTTACTGAACTTGGATGCTGTCCAATTGTAAATTGGAGAAGAAACTTTCTTAACACACCCTTACCACTTTCACTTTGAGTTTCCTTCATTCATGTCATTAGATATTCTTTGTTGAAGTGATTTTGTATTGTTTGTCGTTGTCACACTGTGCATCATTATTGATTTGTGTTGTCAATTTGTCTTTGGTTGATGGATGAGTGTTTTCTTCTGAAGTAGATTTTAGATTGGGTCTATATGCACATGTGTGTTGATTTACATTTCGTTTGAATGCCATGCTTCCAGAAACTCTCTTGGATGATTTCCATATTCTCCCAGTTGAACCTGTCATCGTCAGTGTATACATACGTTGAAACCAAGGAGATCGCTTTACTGCCAGTTGTTACTCATGAATTCTACATTCAAACAAATTGTCAATCAACACACATGTGCATATAGACTCAATCTAAAATCTACTTCAGAAGAAAACACTCATCCATCAACCAAGGATAAATTGACAACACAAATCAATAATGATACACAGTGTGATAATTACAAATAATGCAATTATGATAACACTTCAAGTATGAATGATAACAAAATTGACTATGTAATATATAGAGTGGTTCATGCAACGTAAAATTGAAGGAAATAGTAAATCAATGAAGTACTATGTATGAGATGAGTTGGTAACATAACACCAATGTTTCTGAAGAGATTAACCCAATTGAGTGAAATAACTTCGGAAACTATTCAAAGATGAATACGTTCAGAATAGGTTGTGTGGAACTGTGCCAAATAATATGTTCTACTTTCTCGTTATATATTATTTGAACCTGTTTATATGAGTCAGTAATGTTTGTTATATTTGTGGAATGTCTAACCCATCTTTTTTGTTGACCACAGAAGGTTAAAAACAGGTATACAAAGCTTCTGAAACGACTTGCTCTTTGGTAGGAAGATAACCTTTTGCAAAACTTTTGCTTTTTCGAGTGATATTTTATGACCGGAATATAAGGCATGATTCACGATGCCAGGACATTTTATCAAGTCTTTCCAGATCATAGGAATTTTTTAGTGGTTGCGTACAACTTCGACTGCGTTCGGTTAGACGTCTTAGTACTTGACATGATGTCTCTCCAGTTATATGTGACATCACATTCACTACAGTCATCCTTATAAACTCAGTTTTGTTATTCCAAATAGGGTACCGGGTCTTCTGATTTGCATAGGTGTGAGTTTAAAATGTTCTTCACCTTAAATAATACTGTGGTACTGTAACTACTGAGGATACGTCTTATTTCCGTTGATGTAGATTTTCGATAAGGAAGTGTTAAAGTACTTATTGAATCTTTATTGATTGGTTTTTCTATGTCTTCTTCCAAAAAACTTCCTTCTATCCTTTTCAGTAGTTTTCCTGAGTAGTTGTATTAATTTAAGGATTACTAGAACAAGTCGAACTAAAATTCTTCACCGCATTTTTAAGTCACTTAACTCGCACAACCGGTAAAGGCCTCTCTGATCAGTTTTTTTAACTCACTCATCTACATTTTATTGATCTTTGTTCCATATCACAATGTAACTGGATAATCATGAAGGTCACTTTCTGTACCAAAACTTGAATATTAACCTGAAAACTTTATATTAGATCCATAATCTTGAAAAGGATCTTTCTAGCAAGATAGAAATGTTGTGGAGTAATACAACATATTTGTCTATTTTTTTATTTGTTCTAATATAGTGCGCTGAGATTATTTTATGTTTCTTCAGTGATTAAGCATAAACAGTATCAACTAGAATCCACATTCCTACTCGATATTATTCCGTCAGCGTCAGTCACCACCTGTCATTTGAATAACTTAAATCGTCGAACTCTAAGCTACAGCTAGATTAGGATGATAATTGTAGACAGTGGAACAATAAGACCATTTCCAGATATTACACCTTGAACCACAGTTTTTGAGAGATAAATATTGGTTGGATACTCCTCAGCTGCATGCTTTTTTACAAAATCCAATTATCACCTCCAAAATACAAATTTGTTCGTTGTATATATACATATCAGAGCCTTAATTCAAAGTGATTGATAAAAGTAATATTTCATTACTTTCTTTCAGATAAGTAGTATGAAAATTCAACTAATGTCTCACAATGATCACATTTGGATGGAAGATTTTTATTCAGAGGTAAGTTCTCAGTCTATTCACGTTCCTTTTGACGGGAGAGAAAAAATATGTTTGATGAAATTCTGTACTATTGCTTACCAAGAATCAGCTTTTTTGAGCCAACAGAAGGAAAATAAAAGTTTTTTTGGATGCTGTGATGAAGTGAATTCAGATTTTAGTTTCCAATTTCAAAATATTTTTTAAGGTCGACTGTATTACCTTCGATACTACTCTTCATACAAATTTGCCATGGAGTTAACTCTTCTCATTTCAATAATATTACGTTCATCCTGAGTTTAGCCAGTCTCACTTTCACTTCGGAACTGCATATGTTCTGTTGATGAATTAGGATAAGACTGAGACGATCGACTAAGTAAAAAAACCATAACAGAGAATGTAGGGAAATTTCTTCTTACTTTAAAACCAATCATCGAAGGTGAACTCAATGGAAGCAATTTCACTTAAATGACTGACTGACCCGAATACAAATGGTGACATCTTTGGAGATTATCTGAGTTGTCTAGAAGACGAAGACTAGAAATCCAATGAATGAACACGACGGCGTTTAGGCGGGAGACCAGTTAGAAAGTGAAGATTGAATCTGGTACTCTTCCGCTGGCTAATATAGCCCAAATCATTTCTTTGCCTATTTAAAAAACCTATTGTAGCTCCACTTCCTTGAAAACCTGTACTGAAGATGACATCTTGGTTGTTGTCAAAAGCTTGGCGTGTGAAATCTCTAGTTTACAAACAGTTCAAGATAATAAAACATCCAAGACTGCAATCGAAAATATCCTCTCCGAAATAAGAATGCTCCCAAGCGGAAAATCATATATCTTTGACAAACGTAACTACTGAGAATGTGAAAGTGGTAAATCAGCTTCTTAGCCCACAGCAGACCAGATGAGCAGATAACACACTCAAATGAATTCCTCAGTTGAGTAACATACTAATGGAAAGTTATCTAGTTATAATTTTAATTGTAACTAACATATAACACTCCAATATCGTTAAAATGGTGACACTATCAATTCACGTAATGTAAAGAATAGAACAAAACGTCCTTCTGAAACACACAGATTCTGTGGAAGCCTAAGAAGTCGATTAGGGTGATAAAAAGGTACGAAACTGGACAACAGGAGTAATTCACATCACTTCGAATGTAATCATAATAATGAAAGGTGAAAGCTAACAGTTTTTTCCTTTCTTTGAAGTTACTTTATCTACGATTATGAATTTAGTGATACCCAGACCGTTTGCATATATCCAAGAGACTAATAACTGTCAATTATCTTGTATAGGTCTGTAAGTACATATTTTATTCATAATTATTTATTCATCCTAGGTAATCGAAATCCCAAAAATGACCACCATCCTATAGAACTTTCGTAAAACTCTCTGAAAGAAAAAGGTGCATTTCTTTACCCGATATATGTTAATTGAAGTAGTTGTCACTTCTACTTCTATTTCTTTTAACTTCATTTGAGTTGACCTTCAGGTACACGCAGACAGGATTATGCTTCTTTCTTTAACTTTATTAGTTTTCAAAGCTCTCGGTTAATTTGTCTAACCTTTACTCCTAGTATCGTCACCTACCCAGGCAGGGCAGCATCGTTTCCACTACATGCGGCACGGGCACAGATGAGAATATTAAAGCCAGGATCATAAAGGCAAGACAGCCTTTCATTAATTTGAGATCAGTGGAGATCTACTGCACCACACTGCACTCAGCATAAGGCATGAACAAGATCCGGACATTCAACACTAATGTCAGTCAAGTCAGTGCTTTTATGTGATGGTTCAGAAACTTGGCGCGTCATGAAAAGCATTTATAATAAACAACAGATATCATACATGGGCAGCTACCGACTACGAACGCGCGATACTGAAGACCAGATGGCGAGAATAATGAGAATAAGCAACAAGGAACTCTGGCAACGAACCAACTAAGAACTTATCATCCAACAAATGTGCAGAAGAAAGTGGAGATGGACTGGATTGTGCATGTATTGAAAAGGCCGGTTGGGGATATCACGCGCCAGTAGCTCGAGTGGAATCTAAAGGTAAAACGACGAGTTGGGTGTCCAAGCTGAGGGTGACGTGGAGGAGATTGTGTGAGAAAGAAATGAAAGCTTGTGGGCAGTTGTGGAGCCAGGTTGAAAAGACTGCAGAGAACAGAGTTGAATGGAGACATGCTACTGAAGCCCTATGTCCCACTAAGAACCCAAGGTAAAAATAATAATAATGTCAGTTGAAATACCAGATGATGGAACTGAACGAAATCTGAAATGTACTTCCATTGTCTCTTTCCCTCTTTCTGGCATTTAACTCACGAAAATTGTCAAGATACACAATATGTAAAGATAAATATATTTTTATTGTGGCCTGAAACTACTTTATCATCTGGCATTTACGCTATTCATTTGACTTATTTAAGCAAAAAGCCGACTGTTTCCCTTGGAAACACTTTTCAGTCTACCTATTTTCTGACAATCAACTTCAAGTAAATTCATTAAATTTCATCATTCATCTACTTTCTGTTTCCTTAACGTTTCCTTAGTGTTGACAAAAAATTCGTGTAATGCTTACATTCTGTAAAAAGAAACATTATACCCAAGCTAAAAGGTGAGTTAGACCAGATTCTAAACGCCACAACATGATGAATCCAGACTAAATAAACAATTAGATAAGTGATCAATTCCCATTGGACCATTTCTGACACTTATACTCACTCATGGGTGTGTAGTTCTCTAAAAAATATGACTTTTATATGAATTAAACACTGATTTTTAAATTAACTATAATTTTTTTATCATCTAAAGCAAGCTTTATATTTGAAAAAATCTCTGTCTGGTTTCATGAAATGATGTTTTCAGTGGAACTCAGTCTGTTTACTCTCAAAGTTGAAAAACTAAACATGATTTTATTTACATGAAACAAAAGATTAAAAAACACTCTGTTCTAATAGTTGGACATATTCTGGTTAATAGCATTTTAGCCCACTAGTAGTAGGCTAGCACTAATCGCTTTCAGGAGATAAGTGTGCTTCTGTGCCTCTAAAAATCAGATCAAGTTCCACTCGGAGTGTCCTTGACAAAATATTTGATGGATTGGAAGTTATGCTAGAGAAACATTTGCTCTGTCGGTTTTTACTTCGTTTCTATTCAGTCGTTAAGTGTTTATGATGAACTAGAAGGCAACACTAGAATCTTGTAACAGTTACAGAAATGTGTTGTTTAATGGTAAGTTGTAAAGCACGCCAGATAGGAAGAAACCTGTGTCCTGGATTCCTATGCCATTCACCAAGATCAATATAACATCATGAATATCCAGCAATATCAAGGCATCCACATAGGGGACCATCTGCCAACAGAGGTCACCCAATTTGGCTCTGTATAACAACAGAAAATTGCAAGTATCATAACAGTCGTAATGATGTATAGTGGCCAGCAGTGGAATCCAGTATACGCACTTCGTCCTCTTTGGGAGTCGTGAGCCGGATGTACCTGCTCTCCGGTGAGTGATGTTGTTCCCACCTGGATTCGGAGTGAGAAGCGATCGCTTCAAACGCCAGAGCGTTATCCATTACACCACCGAGCCACGATAGCCACTTCTTGTTCGACGAGTATAGTTTTTAGTATAATCGTTTCCATATCATACATATCGGGAAGTAGGTACATCTAGCTGACGAGTCCTAAATAGGACGAAATGTGCATCCTGGATTCTACTGCTAGCCACTGTCCATCATTACTATTATCAGAGCACAGATAATATCGAGGCATCTGCACAGGAGCCCATACACCAACAGAGACCGATCAATTAGGTCCAATCAGTGACGGTATGATGTAGAAACAATTACACTATCATAACAATCTTTCTTTTAATTATTAGGTTTTGAACTACTTTCTAGTTGACCTCATTTTCTTACCATTAATACCTCCCAATGAACATGAACTGAATTTTACTTCAATTCTGCTTCATTTTCAAAACTTTGCCAGCAGCTTTCGAAGTAGAAATAACTTCTACTATGTTGCCTAATGAATTATATCACAATTAATACCAAGATATATGACCATGATTAGAAGAAGCTTCACTCTTGATTACTTACTTTGCAAAAAATTAATCATTTGTGGGATTAAGTTAATAGGAACCGTTATTTTTATCCTCCCATCTCAGGAAATATTCTAGAAATATCTTTACGATTTGCTACACTCATTCTTGGTGAACTGTTGGTCTCCAAAGGTATGCGATTCTGTTTTACGATAGTCAACTTATTAATTTTGCAGAAAATACAAATATCTGGAATGAATCCACTGAAGCAGAAAATTTCCTCTACTAAAATTTTCGGTAAACTTTTGAGTAGAAAGATGGACTAGCATTTAATGTACCAATGTCAAGAGAGAGAAGTAAGACTATGTATGCTTCCCAGAGAAGCAAAGAACCTGGAAACCTAATGCACATAATTCATTGATTGCGCTTTTAGTTTCCGTACGAAATAACTTTGGTAGTTGTTTGATATCCTTAGAGCTCTGAGGGTAGTTTTTGAAAGTTTGATAACCGGACAAGACTTCATCAGCATTAACTTAGTAAATTGCAGTTGCTGATGAAGTTATGTAGACTGGTGATGAAACGTACAAGAATGAAAGTCAAAGTTTGTGGAATTTTGAATACTTATCATTCTTAACCTGAGTAGTAGATCTTCTCCACTGTCTCAGAAATAAGAAACCGCATTTCAAAGGTCCGTATATAACTTTATACAAGATGGGATATTAGATCATTACTGTGAATGATTTTTAAAAATGTCTGTTAAATACAAACTTTCAAGCTCAATTCTTTCGCTACAAAGGCTGTTATTGGTTGGAAAGAAACGTCAAAATTGGACTGTGTGATGCAATGACTTTCTAACTACTTCGCTTATCAACCTGAAATTTTTCGATTTTCACTCATATCTTCGTTGTACAGTTTGTAATGCCATCTACCTTCAAAATGATAAATGTATGGTAAGGTGGTAATTTTCAGCTTAATTAGCTTTTCAGATATTGTTGGCAAATTATCATGTTCCTGATAAAATGCCTACTTAAGCAAAGTGTCTCAGTATGAAATGATATTCTTCTAAACAACTATGCTACATTCCTAATGGTAATGAAACCTAAGTGTTAATCTTGAATAGTTGTTTACGAAAATTTGCGGAAATTACTAAATTATCATTGTAAATTAAAAACATTTGTTTCCCGATACAAATTTAAAACAAGTAACAAGTGCGAAAAAATCAGGATTTAATGAATTCATAACTTTCAGTAGTACTCGTCAGCTGGATACTCTACATACTTGATCATATATACCGTTAAGCAATGGAAAAGAGCATACATACATACATATACAACGCAGACTGAGACAGATTTAGGTGTAACAAAATAGGAGTGAATAGTTTTTACAGGTCAAATTGTAATCCGAACAGTAATCCCTTTGTCAACAATTTTGAATATCCATTTCTATCCTCTGGATTACCATTTGACCTGTAAAAACGATTCACTTCTATATATTTTTGAGGTGAATGGGGATTTTTAATTAAGAAGTAGTATTCATCATGGACTGATATCAGTTGGGGAACCATTGAAAATCTGGGAGCACTGGACAGCTGTTTTGTCCCAGTATGGGACTCCTCAGCAGTACGCAACCACGACCCGGCTAGGGATCGAACTCAGGACCTTCAGGCTCCACGGCGAACGCGTTAACCATTCAGCCATTGGGTCGGTTTCCAGTGGTTCACAATTTCCAACTTCTGTCAATTCACGATATAGCGCGACTGTCACCCAAGGTCTATGTTGTTACACCTAAATCTGTCTCAGTCTACGTTTATATATATATATATATATATATATATATATATATATATATATATGCCATTTTCCATTGCTTAACGGTATATATAATCAAGTATGTAGAGTATCCAGCTGACTAGTTCTACTGAAAGTTATGAATTCATTGTAAACTAGTTGATTTTTAATCTATACGTAGAAAATTGTTTTTCTTTATATAATCCAGTCTTAAAGATGGTCAGTTGTGACCCAGTGATGAATATCAACAAGCATGAATACTTGGCGAATGACACTTAAATAATTGTGAACTTTTCGTAATTAACACGTAAGATAAGTTTTAAGATACATTTTAAGCTGAAAGTTACAGTAAAACTCCAATTCCTGTAAAGTATCAGGTGTTTCACCGATGAAAGCCAATAATGCTTGTAAATAAGGTCGTCTTGAATACAGTTTCAACCTGCAAACTGTAATTTTGTTATTACTTCTACAATCAAATAAAAACGCTCATGATTCACTTTAATTGATCACTCAAATATTACTGTTTTTACTGTTATTATTATTATTGTGAATATCATCACACATTTTTAAAATCGCATAATTTAAATTTGGCTCTTTTTTAAACGTCCAATCTCATTGGTTAATTTCTGTTCCTTTTTAGCTGAATATTCATACAAAACAAAGTCTTCTAATGCAGTTAGTTAGCTTTAATAATTTCCTATCTAAAAAAGCCATATCTACAGATTTATCTAAATTGATTCCAGATCTTGGGTGAGTTTTGTTATTGTTTTGTTTTGCATAGATTGAGTTCACAGTTTAGTTTTCCAAACATTTTAAATACCACTATTTTTGATAGTTATTTGATTAGATGATGATGTAAAGATATAAATAAAACGAATATAATTTTGATAATGATGACGACAATCACCATTTATTGACATACTTGTTATTCTCCGTTGTTTTGTTGCATCGAATTGTTCCACCTGGATTTTTCTGCTAACTACAACCAACCAAATTATAATGATGACCACAATGTTGATAATAAGGATCAACTTTTGCTAATTAATGAAATTTGTTGATATAATTATTATTCGAGCAAATGAATCGTGAAATAATCGTTTCAAGTTGTTATTCATCGTAGACTGACATCAGTTAGAGGAACAAAGGAAACCACGGAGCACTGGACAGCTGTTTCGTCCTAGTATGGGACTCCTCAGCAGTGCACACCCACGACCTAGGCGGGGATCGAACCCGCGACCTTCAGGTTCCCTGGCCAGCGCATTACCATTGAGTCACTGGGTCAGAATCTAATGGTCCATATTTCCAACTTCTGTTAGCTCACGATACAGCGCCGTCCAGTGTTCCCAGGTTTCCCTTGTTCCTCCAAATGATGTCAGTTACGATGAATAACAACTTGAAATATTTCCAAATCCCCACAACTCCCTCAAAATTATTGTTTCTCTAATTAAATGAATTATTTGATGATTCAAGTAAATTTAAAGTATACATAAACTCTACACTGGTTACTTTTGGTGATGCAGAGTTAAAGGGAAAATAAGAACGTAAGTCACTACAGGATTCGAACGATTAGTCTTCAGATTACCGGTTTGGTACTCTAACAGGTGAGCTAACAAACCTTATTTCGATTACACTGGCTATGAGTGAGCTGAGTGAGCATTATTCCATTCAACCAATGATACCGGTTTGAATCCTACCAAGAATCAACTATTCATTTCACCTTCAAACATAACCCCATATCAATAATACTTGTTTTCCCAACCACAGCTATCTCAGGCAATCCTGGCAAGAATTAATTTCATCATTACTGCATTCTGCCTCAAATGTGACGGTAAACTGCTTTTCATGAAAAGACTTTATGCAGACAATAACTGAGAACTCATAAATAGGAATGCGAAAAAAGTTTAGAGTTTTGAAAATAGTAAAAAAATTACCCGTCTTTAAGGATGTTACATCTAAATGACTATATACATATCTTACTCGATATTTTTCAACTCTGTTACATCACTGTAAGTGTAAGAATCTGGTGTACTACCGCGATCGGAGTAAAAGACATAGCATTGTACATTGAAATGCATATAATGTAGCTTCTTAAGGATAACTATATGCTTCAAACTAGTGTAAACTAACCTTTTTTATTAGTTGTCGTCATAAATAATGGCTGACAGCTAAATTCAAGGATGGTGTTTCATCCTACTTAGGACTCACCAAATTATTTTACCTATCCTCAAGTAAAACTGTTGGTAACAAAATTCAAACAAAGAAAAATTCCCAGTTGGCCGCTGAAAAATGAAAAGAGGTTATAGCTAATAAAATTGTCTTTCCAACGCCTCATTTTCATAGCTGTACATCCGTAAATACATATGTGAAATGATAAGACATTCCAGACAGTTTTCCCACCAAAGATCAAACTTAATCGACAGATAAAGAAAGGGAATAAAATGATATAACGCAACATAGAAAAAGTCTCAACAGTTCACATTAGGTGCATTGAGCAGTAGGTTTGGTATCTGGTACAAATGAATAAATAAACATATAAAGAAATATATTTTGAGGTGACTGATATCACTTAGGGAACCTCTGCAAACTCAGGAGTATAGGATAACTATTTTTTCCTAGCATGAGACTCCTCAGTGGTACGTAGCCAGTACCCAGCGTACTGCTGAGTAATCCCGTCCTAGAAAAAAACATTTTTCAAGTGCTCCTGGCTTTGCAATGGTTCTCTAAATGATGTCAGTCCGTAATGAATACTACTTCATATAAAGAAACAAACAAAATACAGAAAGTCAAACATAAAGAGAAGCGCTGAGTATCGGTTTAAATCCAAGGTTTCGAATGCATAGTTGATGTTTGAGGCAGTGAATCGACAAAGATTCGGCTGTGCATAAGTGTCTAATATTCACCCTTTTCAATGGTTTGGTTGAATTTTATAAAGAACTTGGAACGAGGTTTCTAGAAGAGTTAAATATCCAGAGTCTAAGAGGTTTTCAATGATAGAGCTGAAGATGGTTTTGTGCCCAACCTTTAGAAACTAGGCCGGTTACTGTCTGCGTGTGCGTCCCCCAAGCGAATACATGGTACGGCCAACGTACACTAGTGACCACTTCATATCCTGGAGGGTTATTCACTTTCTTACTGAACTGCGATAGCTACTCCTCATGAAACTGACTTAAGTTTGATAATATAGCTCTTAATTTACTTCCTGCTGATTACTTAAACCAAAAAGATAAGCTAGTGTGGATTCCTGTACATATAACTCAGTATTACCAGCCATTTCATTCTAATAGTAAGCATTATTAATGGCTATTTGCACTACAATTGGTAATATGATCGATTGGATGTTAAAAATGACTGCAACTGATACATATTACTTTCATTAGGCATAAATTTTATTGAAATATCCATTCACTAGGAAAGAATTTAGCTGGGATATTCTTTATACCGAATGCTACGTCATCCACTACCCGAAAACAAAAGTTATTTGAATACAGGAATCAGGTTATCAGTTAGAAAACCCACTGAAACTGAGTCTTTATGCTTGCACTTGTAGACTTTAGATAAATTCTGAAAAGGTATTAACTATGAAACTGATTTAGCATGTCACAGGATTCCGACTGATAAAGTGCAGAAAAGCGTAGGAAATGGTAAGCACGTGAGCCCCATTAACTATGAACCGGCAGTGGTTAAAACACTATTCAAAGAGTGAAAGTGATATGTTCCAGGATAAAGTGGAGGGAGAGTTGCAAATACCTGAAAGATACCGATAAGACAATGGATATCCGTAAACATTTGTCAACAGGTATGAAAAGTGGAAGACAGAAAGCCGAAAATCACTATATTCAACAAAATGCCTAGAGTTGTTAGATTCAGTTTCGAAGATGATGATATTGCAGGAACTGTTAAATGACAACTGAAGATGTTAACGGCTTGAACAGTTTCTGCAGCCAGGTTAATTCTTGTGTATCAAACAATTTGTCCATTAGTTCACTCAAAAGTAGACAGATACTCTGTATATGTAACTTCCGAATGTGTGAACCAATTTATGCGTAGTTGCTGGAGCAGAGACAGGAAGGAGAGACAGAAAGGCATTCCTTATATTTTCTGAATAAATTATGAATAAACCAAGACTAAGGAGAAGTAGTACTCTGAACAGCGCAATCACTCGACATCTGACTGACACTGGATGTCAGGTAGACGTCTTTATTTCCTTCAAGAGAACAAAAAAATAAGTTCCATTCTCCGAAAACTTGCTGAGAACAAAACCATCAAATGCCTCAATTTTGATTTGTGTTCAAAACAACTGTAGTCAGCCATTGTCTACCTTGGTAACCCTTCTTGATAGTCCGTTGATTAAGTCATTCTTTACGAACCTTAGAGGTCGATTCCTCCACGCTTATTTAATTCCGTCATCTTTCGTTCTATCAAATATGTTCATTTAAACTGTTTTGGACTAGGTGAACCCAGTTCATAATATTTTTCTCTTTGTTTATTAAACAAATAACTTAGGTAATCTTATATCTAAGTCCCTCTATACTTCGGTGGCTTTCCCTAGGTTTCTAAAACCGAGAAACTTTAGTTGATTTATGTTCGTAACAGTGAAAATTTGTTACCAATTATAAACACTCTCTCAACTTTAATAAAGGAGTAAGACGGACGCTGTGGTCGATTGTAATTCCAAACTAGTCTGCTTATCAAAAATGTCACACAGTGAAGAAACAGTAGCATTTCACTGGATAACGTTTCGAAAACATTTCATTACCCATATTCATATCAGGTAACTCCACAACTTCAACACACAGTTGATAGATTCCTAATTTTCTCTCCTTCTCTGTGATGACAAGTGTAGTAGAACTTTCCATATATTTGAGACAGGTGAGAATCATTTCGATTACATGTATTTGGTGTTGATTCGATAAATAAACAAAGATTCGGTTATCAGTTTCACTCTCCACCCAACTAAGTTAATTTTTAACATCGTCACCCTATCCAATCTACTGCGTGATTGTCTGTAGTTGCGTGCAGAGCATTTTACCTCGCGTTCCAATAACTACTCACCAAAATTCATAAATAAATTCATAAGAAATCGAAAGAAAAATATTAGCAGCAGTAGTAGTAATACAGGTGTTATGAATAATAATTCCACTACTAGTGGTAATAATGGTGACAGGGTTAAGAGAGAATTCAAAGCCTCTGCTGTGTTACCACACAAGAAAGAAAATTCAGAAGTGTTACGAAGATTTCCCAATATAGCTGGCATTAAAGTGACATTCAAACCAACAAACTCACTTAGAAACAAGCTTAGTAGGTTAAAACATCCTATCGATGCAATTCAGAGAAAATCTGATTGCCAAATCCCTTATAACGATTGCGGGTCCAATACATAGGTCACAGTAGTCGATCAGGGTCGGTTACAATAACAGAGCACAAAAACCTGGCTAAATCAATATCACTAGATCCGAATAAAATAAGAAGATTAAGAAAAGCTTGTCTATAGCTCTGCAGACAATCACGCAGTAGATTGGGATAAGATGACGATGTTATAAAAATTAACTTAGTTGGGTGGAGAGTGAAACTGATAACCGAATCTTTGTTTATTTATCGAATCAACACCAAATACATGTAATCGAAATGATTCTTCATCTGTCTCAAATATATGGAAAGTTCTACTACACTTGTCATCACAGAGAAGGAGAGAAAATTAGGAATCTATCAACTGTGTGTTGAAGTTGTGGAGTTACCTGATATGAATATGGGTAATAAAATGTGTTTGAAACGTTATCCAGTGAAATGCTACTGTTTCTTCACTGTGTGACATTTTTAATAAGCAGACTAAACCGGGAACTCTTTCAATTTGCCTTCATGATTTAACATTGCACTTAAAGTATGTCTCTGTTTCTACTAGCAACCAATGTTCCTTCGGTCTTCATTAAGTAATCTGAAGTGTGCTTTTAATAAAACTAAATCTCCTGACATTCTAGATTAACAAGATTTCACGAAAATAAAATTCATTCATTTTATCTTGCTTCCATTGCTACTCTTACCCTTTTTGTAAACTAACAAAGTGTAGACTGAAACTGAATGAAAAATTAATTTGTGAAGCAAAATAAACATTAAACAATTCAAATGTACATTTAAATTACTCGATTTATCAGCCTCTAAACGTCTACCTTATTAAACGATTTTAAATTATTCCTTAGTAGTATCATTTGCTAGTGTCACTTTACAGAGCTAAAATTACTGTTGCCTGTTGAAACAGATCCTGAGATATTACACCTTCTGCCTGTTGCACAGAAGATGGTGAAAAATGTGTTACCTTATATGTTTCATTATTAACATCAGATCATACTTCACCACTGTCTGAACATTTCATAAACTCAACAATCCTTAGAAATTGTAACGTCATTTGAAACAGTAACCTAAGTAACCTTTTTTTAAACTCGAAAGGATCAATCAAAATTGATCAGCATTAAGGATTACGTACCATGAAGTTGGTTACCGTCTAGTGATTAATCAATGTACCTAACCAAGTCTTATATGAGAGTGGTCGTGGCCCAAATAGCTTATTAGTAATGCCTCTGAGTGCAGTACTAGGTGACATCGGTTTGGGACATCAGTTCAGTCGAGGTAGCAGATCCACTTTCCCGAAAAGTCCCAAAAAGCATGAGACCTAGTTCTTGTGCCTCCTACTGATTGCCTTTATCCAACTAACCGAAGTAGTTTTGTTTTATCATTTGTAATTAATTTCATCACATGTATCATAAGTTACCGCATGTTAGTCAGAAACTTCAACAAGTATTCGTTCAGAAAATATTCTTTACCTTAATCATTTTGCAATCGAATATATATATATATATATATATATATATGAACTAAATAGATAATGAGGTAATTCAATCTGATACATGTATTTATACATGAGACTGTGGGCTGTGTTTTTAATTTGCCATTATCCGGGCCAAGGTAGGTGACTGGGGACTCGAACCCAAAATCCTATTGCATGCAAGCTGAACGTTTAAGCCAATGAGACATTTCTACAGATATAGGCATATAAGAAATCTGATAGGTATACGAGTACACCGGAAAACTTCCATCCGCAAGGTCATTTGCGTTGCTCACAACCATTTTGTGCGGAATTTAACTTCTAATGCTAAATATGTGCATTATGATCAGATCACTACTACTAATAGTTCCCTATCTGACTGACAATGAGTCTTCTTCAACACAGATTTACACATTATTCTAGGCATTTTCATCTCTTTTGTCGTTTCATAAGCAGTTGCACTTTAATAGGATTTTTAATTAAAAACCTAATAAGCTAGGCGAATTGCAGATACAACTGTTTATTGTATAAAGTGCTTTCAAAGAAAACTAGGCGTTTAATAATTCAGGTCATCGGGATAATTAAAAACTGACTAAAATTAAAAAGTACTCATATCAACCGTTATTTTTGTCATTGCTCCTTTATTAAATAATAAACTGGGAGTGAATATTTCATTTTTGAATAAGTAATAATCGTAGCCTACAGGTTGATTGTACCTATAAAATACTCTTAATTAAAAGATAATAATAAACATTTTCTCACTAGCTCTCCTGAGAACGACGCTAAATACCATCAAGCTTCTTTTATTAGTGTAATTTCCCATTTACATTTTAGGAGAGTTATGCACACTCTATTTTGATATCATAATATTCTATCGATCGAACAACAAGCCTGTTTTTAAAGTCCTACTTGAAAAGCATGATGAAATACTTTTGAATTTCAAGATAACTCTCTGCCTATTACTGTCTGAGTTGCTTCTGAAATCACTGTCATACTGTTTCTCCCTTACAGACAAGAATTCTCTTGAATGGACTTTATCAGTTGTACTGAATGATTAAACGTCTTAGAAGAGGGAATAGGGCAAAAAGCTTATGGATTTTAGATGTGAACCCTATTGAAAGACATAAGTGAGACTGAACCCTCCTTAAAAGTTTCGTAAAGCGGTTAGCTCACTATATGTTTCTTTACTGATTATTCAAGGAAGCTTTTTTGCACCACAAATTTTAGGCGATATAATAAATATTTGAAATGATACTCTGGGTTATACCACAGGCACAGATTCAGTGTCCGTTGAGACAATATACCCATACGCGGGTTTTTGTCAGCATTGTTATTCAATCTCGAGTGTGCTAAAACCTATCACTCAGTCGATTGAAATTCTTGTGTCTAAGTGTCATGCTTGTGAGTACTCTCTATAAAGGCATATCAACAAAAATAAGGGAGTTAATGCTGCCTTGGTGACTCAAAGTGAATTCATTGAATCAGCCAGCTTTGTTTTTCAATTTAGTATTCATTCATACCCATCGTCTGTTGCTTAGCTTTCAGTTCCTTATGCTAACCTAGTTTCTAATTGAAACGTTAACTATTCATATTTAAGATAATATACTTTTTATCTAGAATAAACAATGATAATTTGTGAAATCATATCAAAATAGTTTACTTCATTAAAATCCTTCACTAAAATTTGAATTTACATCCATATACAGTATTCCGCTCCAAAAAAAAATATTTTTCTGTTGTAGACATTTTTCACAAATCAATAGTCTTCACATACTTCAAATATTTTAATTTTCTTCAACTCTATAGCCTCAGTTCTGGTGGAAGCAAACTTTTTCAGTATATTGAAAGTTCAAATATAATGGGTAAGTTCATTATGAATACATGTTAAACTAACATTTTTAATTCTGCATAAATATGGTCTCAAAATTACAGAATCCTATAAGTATACATGAAAAGTCAACACTGAGGAAGTATATTACTTCATTAACTTTTCCTTTGGTTCACACAGTTATCAAGTAGAATTGTTTCTCATACTAAAGGGCGAAAATGTAGTAACTACACTTTAACAAAAACGGTATCTAATTTTATGGTTCTAAGAGGACTAATTTCAATGACATAATAACTTATAACAAAGGTGACGGTCAAATGAATGTAGTCGTAGATGATGACAAATGAATGTTTCATAATCAATCACAAAAGATATACAGTATAGCTGAGGGAAAATTATCAGTGTAGTATATGCTCGGTGGAGAACCAAAGTAATAGATAAGTTGATATGAATGAGATTGGAGCTGCTAACAATTGAGTGCAGTGTCAGTCATAAAATGGCTGAAATGGCGCTAAACTGTGGATAATGGTTAATAACAAGTTACAATAATGATGTTACTCTACTCAGGAATTTGAATAAATAAGTAACAATAAATGAAAAGGAATTATAGAGAATTTTTAAGATAAGAAGGGAAATCTTAGCTTATCATGCAGTATACATAAGTTCAGCTGTTTCCGTCAAACCATTGTCACTGCCTCTGTCTCCAAAAATAAAAGCGTTTATCTTCTTGGTTTATACAAGCTGAAGTTAGACTGACAAAAAACCTTCCTATAGGGAACGGCGCAAATGCTGATATTGCCGTCACTGTAGTAAAATGTGTTTCGAAAACATGACCTAGTGTAAGTTGTCTGCATCTCTTCCACGCATATTTGAAGCTATTACAGTAAGATTGGCCAAACCAGAACTCTGGATTCATTTGATTCATAATCCGGCGTTTATCATTCAACTCGTGACTGAGTCCCTCTTCTTTTTCTTCGGCTGACATGATTTCGTCCCTATTGCTCTTTCTTCTCCTTTATTTAATCCGAAACCCTTTCAAAAATTATATCATTCTTGTAACTGTCGATGTCTTCAATTTTCTGCACAGGCTAATATTAACAATTGTGTATTCCTCTTTACTACAGCTTCTCGGAGATATTTTCCGTATTATGATACCGTTCCAACTATTTTACACACCTTCCCTTTTATAATTTTCAATGTTACGGAGCTTTATTATCTTCTACCACATTCACATCAACTTCTGCATTACGTTGCTTATCCATCCAATATAAGCTATATCCGTCAACAACATCATTATTACCCCTCAACTACTCTGTTGATAGCTTTACGACCGATTATCCATTCGACTTTAAGGTTGATAATAGTCATGGACTGACATAAGTTGGAGAAACATCAAAAACGTAAGTGTAATGGACAGCTGTTCCATGCTAGTATAGGAGCTCTCATCACTACTAACCCATGACCGTAATGGATAGGGTACACTTACTCAACGACAGCACTTGGTGAAGGTCAGACTATGTCGTGAACTGATACGAATGTGAACCAATAAATTTTGACCCTGTAGCTGAATGACAAAGTGCTGACCCATGGTCATGGATGCGCACTGCTAAGGAGTCGCATACTTAGACGAAACAGCTGTCCGGTGCTCTTAGGTTTTCAGTGGTTCTCCAAATGTTGTCAGTTCATGATGAATATCCACCTGAAATCAATAGACATATGCCCAAAAACCTTTAAATTGAATAAATTTTGTAATTAATTGAATATATCATTTGACATACTCATATATATCATCCAAAAGTTGACAAATTGAAAACTGATCCGCTTACAACCGTGAAATCAGATACCTTGGTTGTATTGTGTTCTCTGATCTGGGTTGTTTAATCGTGAAGCTTTCATTGTCTTTCAGATGTATAGATATAGACCCCATCTATCAACCAATAAGAAAGATCATATACGACAGAAAGGTCAGAGGTCAAGCAGCGGAACAGCCAACAGGGAAGTCTATACAATCAATGACACAACACTTGAAGGAAACAACCAATCACAGACCACATCATCAGGGCAAGTCATTAAATCACTCACGGAGAAATGTTGACAGCTCACTTCATACTGAAGTTAGTTCTGATGATGTCGTCGAGAATGACAATGAAAGCTTCAGCCTGAGCTACAAATATTCTCCATTATTGCAAAATCAGATACCTTTTTGAAAAATGTGAATACTGCATTATTGACCTTTGATATAATGAAAAATCCTACCTCATAGGTTAAATTCGTTCAAATCTCAAGGTGCTTACAATAAAACAGTTCAAACGTTTCTCAGAGAAGTCCACTCAGAGTTTCTCCATGGAACTAATCAAAAAATACATCATATATACAAAGGAGATTAAAATTCTTATCGTCCATCAAACTGTCTAATCTTCTTTAGATTATGGTTGTTTTCGAAAATAATTAATATTCATTCACTGTGAATTGTTATATACGATGAACGAATGTAACTCAGTGTTTATGAGTGTTAGTCTAGAAATGAATTATAGTAAAACTCATTGGTGTTATGATTGTAAACATGTGAGGAGTAGTTACTTTTTGTACAGCTACGACATGTAAATATGAAAATATCCGTTTCATTTTTGTCTGTAACTGAAGTACAGAATGAACTGATATAAAAAGAATTCTAATTGATCATAAAGATTTATCCCCTTACAATGAACAATATACGTTTCACCTTGATGTGGGTCAAAGGTGTAAAACTGACAGAAAGCCAATCGAATTGTATTTGCTAAATAAAGGAAACATTTCGGCAAGTGAATTTTGGGATTACAGGACATAGTATATTCTAGAATTCTCAGCAGATATTCAACGATTGGGAAACAGACCAATGATTGGACTTTATTCAATAGGAATGAGGAACAAAATGGATTTTGATAAAAACAAACCTCATAACAAGAGTAATCTGAACGAACGAATATTTTCAATAACTTCTTCAGGTTTTACAGTCACAAGTCCATGATAATATGCGAGAGACAATAGCCAAAGTACGGCGTAATGTAAAATTATTTCAATAAGGAAAAAGTCAGTGTTACGGACAAATGGAGATCAAATCAAATGGAATAGTAATTAGTCTAATACGGTAGTTGTGTAATGAACTCAATATGCACAGAATAACTACGATATTATTTATTATTTACTTTTCCCTTGGGTTCCTAGTGGAACATAGGGCTTAAGTAGCACACCTCCATTGTATGCTCTTTTCTGCAGTCTTTTGAACCTTGCTCCACCACTGCCCAACAGCTTTCATTTCTTCCTCACATGATCTCCTCCATGTCATCCTCGCCTCGGACGCCCAACTCGTTACATCTCACTTGGATTCCACTCGACGGCCTGACGAGTGATGTCCCCAATCAGCCCTCTCAGTGTATACACAATCCAGTCCATCTCCACTTTCTTCTGCATACTTGTTGGGTAATAGGTTCTTGGGTGGTTCGTTCCCAGAGTTCCTTGTTGCTTATTCTTTCTGGCAATCTGATCTTCAGTATCGCGCATGCGTAGGCAATAGCTGCCCATGTATAATGTCTGTTGTCTGCTGGGAGTTCTTTTCGTGACGCGCCGAGTTTATGAAACATCACATAGAAGCACTGACTTGACTTTGGTGTTGAACATCCGGATCTTGTTGACTCTTTATGCTGAGTGCAGTAGATCACAGTGATTTCAAATTAATGAAAGCCAGTCTTGCTGTCTTTCCGATCCTGGCCTTGATATTCTCATCTGTGCCCGTGCCGCATGTAGTGGAAACGACGCTGCCCTGCCTGGGTAGGTGAAAGAGACTACTTCTTTTAGGTTTCTTCTGTTGATGGTGGTTGGTGCTTGTTGTTGATGATTCATTTTTTTGGCTCAATCGGCAGGTCATTGGGCCAGTAACATGGAGGTTGCTGTTAGGAATCCTGCAGTAGCCTAGATTTCTATTCCACTTTTGTCATCACCTAGTATCATTGAAATACATCTATCTGACGTATGAATGTGCGAGTGTTTGTGTGCTCAGGGTCAAATAATCATCATGTAGTGATGAGTTAATTCAAGTAGGCAGAATGATCATATGAATACAATCTCTTAATAGCGAATAACAGGTGTTAATTGTCACGCAATAGTTGAAGATGACTGTTGGTAGTTATATGAATAATCAAGGCATATTATTCTTAATATAAGAAAGTTAATGTTTAAGAATGAAATAAGAGAGACAGGTGAAGAAAAGGGTGAGAAGTTAAAATGTGGAATTTGCGGTTGGAAGGCTCATAAAAAACGTGTTGACCTTATTGTGGGTCAATGCGAACATAGTGGATACACATATTGCTTTTGAACACATAGGTCAAGTTTAGCTGCATTGCTACCCATGACTTCCTCCATGGATAAGAGGTAGAGTCATGCTGCTTTGGGAAGATTGCAAGAGGCAGAATATATTACATAAAACAATAAGTCTCGTGTCATGTAAAAGAAAGAATGAATGTCGAAGCCTCAAATATGGGTAGATGTCAACAACTTAGACGAGACGGAGCGCAGTTGTTTGGACCTTTGGTAAATTTTGATTAATAAACAGAAATAAAGGAAAGCAAAACGAATATAAGTAGTAATCCTGTTTGCACCAATTATATCGTCCTCATCCTTATCTAATGCAAACAACGTGTTATAATTATTGTTACTATTTATTTTATTACATTAAAAAAATTAATAATCGAGACTTATCACCATCAGTTCATTCTTTTTCCCATTATTTTTTAAAATATCACTCACGGACTGCTTTTTTAGCTGTTTATATTAGAATAAGATCTAAAGAGGATTCGATTGAAAAAAAATTCTTTGTTTATATGTCTTGTCCCAAAATTACACTACTGACAAAAGTGACATGCTTGACTTGTAATTTCGAGTTGCTCTACAAGGCTCAATTGCTCGACCTTTCCTAATGACAGACGAACTCCTAAGCGGATGCCTCGGTACTGCCGGATATTCATGAGGTTACATTCATGTTGATGACTAGCAAAGGGA